CGCTTCTAATTGTTGCTGCAAAGTCAAAGGTCGTGGTCGAGAGGTGCACAAACTCTGCTGAGTGGTTCCAAAATCGAAGCTCCCATCTACTCCTCCAAACAATCCACCAGTTCCGAGCCTCCTAATATAGAGTTTCGCCTGTCGACGTGCGCGCCTTCGCTTTTCTCTGTGCGATTTGCTGTCGGTTTGAAACGCGTAGTCAGAATTAAGGCGTTGTCCAACAGCCACTCCTTTTCCTCGCGTGCGGATTGCTGCAGGCTAAGACAAAGTTCATTGTCGACGGAGTACAGCCGATTGGCGAGAAAGAGCGCAAGATCGCAGGTGCGTCTCATGATGGTTTTCTGGAGGGCTCGTATTGCCCGTTCCGTCGAAGGGCGATCGATGTCGGGCATCCCCAGGCTTACAGGACATGGGTCATGGCGTGTTGGGTCGCGTGGTTCGGTTTACAGTTGATAACCTTCACAGCATGAATCATGAGCACCTCTGTATCCATCCATTCGGTAACGCTTGACGCTCTTGCCGTGGTCGTGCAACTTCCAGAGAGTGCCACTCGCTGCGGCATCGGGGGTGGAGACGGTGTGCACTCAATCATGGCCCTTCAGATCGCACTGGCGGTGGACGTCCCCCCTCATGAGAGCGCGAAGAACTTCAAGGTGGCCGGGTACGATTGCGTCTGGCATGACACCACCTTCGACGACAAGTCGTCCGAGCACGCCAAATATAAGATGTGGCAGTCGGGGATGTTTGTGGGCCCAGACGGACCTCACGAGAAGAACCACAGCAAGGAGTGCCAGCGGCAGTACAGTGGTTTCACGACTTGTGATGAGCTTGCCGGGATCAACCTGAACCCGCACGAACAGGACCATTCGAAGAAGGCGTTGTACCTTCGATCGCTCAATACCATGACATCTTCCAACTTCACTTTCGCGCTAAGGGTGATCAACGAGCGCCAAAACCAGGGGTTCAACAGAAAAACCCTGAGGACGCTTTTAGCAAGTGTCACGGAACACCCAAAAGATAGCTTTGCTGGCTGTGAAGCCGCCCTGTGGAGGTGCGGCAGGCGCTTTTGCGGGAAGCCCGTCATGCGCGTATTCGACTGCCTGGGGAGGGTGGACATTGTCATGCTTGCTACGGTGCTCGGGTCGACCGCTTGAGTATTGCAGAATGGGGGAAAACATGGTAGAGTATTGTTCACGTTGGGATTGTGCCTGAAGAGTTGGAAGTGGGCGAAAGTCAGAAAGGTATCCGATTGATAGTTCGGCCGGGCAGGCGTTTTGTAATTTGTCGCGTGGGACGTAGTGCTTTGGTGGACGTGCAAGGTGCATATGCGAGGTATTGGCCACCAGTTTCCCCTTAACGTGTACTCCACAGTCGGTTTCGTGTGTTTGCGGATTTCAACCCGTGTTTAGGGTGGGTGATGCACATGGTGGTGATCCAATGACTGACGTCTTTCAGGGCACACGCCCGTTGTGTACAATTGTAGATTCAGTTTGAGATGGTCTGTTGTTGTTTCGCCTTGTTGGGCCCGTGGTGTGCGTGTCGGTCCCCGACGCAGCGATGCATGGTGCACCGAGAGTGCTTCTTAGGAGCTGAAATTTTCGAGCAGTCTTGTCCTCCTCTGCCAGTGGCTCCTGTTTCGCGTGCATGCTGGATTGTACTGTGAAGCGGGCCTAAACCAGGGGCTAGGCCACAACGCTTCTGGTGTGCGTATGTTCACATGATATATTCTTCAGGGTCGTCGTTGGTGATACAGCGGGAGGTTTGCACTCGAAAAGGTGTGAAACAAAACGTTTGCACTCCTAACGTGTAAAAAATGACGTGGTCAACAAACACCGGCGTTGTTGTGATCGTCGGAAATGCGCCGTAAGGGTACCCAACTCAGGTTGGACATCCACAATAAGCCAATATCTCTACTTACTCGACTCGTCCAGATAGTCGGTGGGCACGAAGACTACTATTTTTCTGGGTAACGTCGACCGGAACACGTTGGAAACGGGCGCGTCCCTACCCGCGAGTGGGGGACACGGGGGGCATCGAAAAACATTTCGGCATTTTTTCGGATTGAGATGGCGCCCGAAAGCGTGCCGCGTGATGAGTATGAGTGCCGGGCCCAGTCCGTCTTTTTCCACACCGGTGAATGGGTGGACCCAACGTTGGGGAAAAAAAATATGGGAAAAATGGACAGCCCCAGAGAAAGTAATGCCGTTTTCCTTGGGTGGCCGTGCTGCTGGTGGCGCTCGGTCGTGACAACTCAATGACAACTACAATCGAGCAGTGCTTTTGCCCAAGGGCGCTGGTCGCCGCGTTTGTTTCTCGCTATCTGGGCCAAGGTGTGCGTATGCTGAGAGTGCGAGGGCAAAGATTCCCAGGGGAAAAAAACTACGAACTCATGTCGAAACCGACTCTTGTGCCCCTTGAGCGACGGCGTGCACCAGGGCCGCGTGAGGTGAAGTCGGCTTAGAAAAATTAATGCCGACCAAGGCGTGGTTGGTGCGCTCCCGGAGGACTTGGGTGCGTGTTTGGATGCTTGATCACCAACCTGAGGGGCACAAACAGATAGTCAAGCTTCCCTACCGGGAAACTTGGGCGAAATAATCGAAACACGGCGTGTCCTGTCTTGTTATCCTGCCCCTCACCAAAGTCGCGTACGGTACCAATCGGAGGACCAATAGGAATTTGGCACGCACGACTGACTCACGCAACAGGCGCCCGCACGAGAGCAGGGTGTGCGATTTTCGCGTGCCCGACCCGTCCAGATGATCGGTGGGCACGAACGAAGACTACTGTTTTTCTGGGTAACGTCGACCGGAACACGTTGGAAACGGGCGCGTCCCCACCCGCGAGTGGGGGACACGGGGGGCATCGAAAAACATTTCGGCATTTTTTCGGATTGAGATGGCACCCGAAAGTAAGTGTGACGCGTGATGAGTATGAGTGCCGGGCCCAATCCGTCTTTTTCCACACCGGTGAATGGGTGGACCCAACGTTGGGGAAAAAAAGATGGGAAAAATAGACAGCCCCAAGAGAAAGTAATGGCTTTTTCCTTGGGTGGCCGTACTGCTGCTGGCGGCCGACACTATAACCAACCCTGTTTTTTAGTTTGTTTAAGCAAGGGTTTCTGTCCATACCATGTGATGCATACGACCTGGAATATACGACCTGATGTACATTACATAAGTCGGACGGTCTCCATTACGTGCCCATTAATGATGCAGATACCTTCCGTCGTCGCCACACACCATCTATTATATATCAGAGAGGATAAGACAACTCCCCACAGACGATAGACCTGCGAGAAATAGAAACGAACACTGGCTGGTACAATGTACAGGAAGAGCAGCATGGAGCAGGGAAACACCTGTCAATAGACTCCATACCGAGTTGAATTGAATAGATTTGTTGCTGAGTTGAGTGTTTCGTTTTCCAATCTTCGTCGATCGCCCGCGCTCACCAAACTTTGAAATATTGGGGCATGTTGTAGTTTGGCTTTACTACAGTACGCGTGCATGCATATGGGGTGTCGTTATCCATCGAAACATGCAAGCATGCATGCAGTTGTACTTTCCCGCCGCTCAGCTGACTCAGCTAGATATAAAAATGGAGGAAGAAACGTACGATCTACGAGAAACGCACGCGGTTATTGTATGTCATGTGTCACCCGCTTCAACCACCAGGCAGGTAAGTTGCCGTGTGTACACATGACATGCATGTACAGCACAAGAAGTCAGCTGCTGTAGGACCTAGACTATAGTTATCATCTTGTTCGTGTCGACTAAATTTCTCTCACCAAGCAACGCACATACGGGGATGCTGCAAGGGACAAGATG